AGAAGCCTCGAGGAACCCCAGAACACACACACACACACACACACACTCACACACACACACATACACTCACATACCACATTAACACACACACACACTCACATACCACATTAACACACACACACACTCACACACACACACTCATACACACACATACACACACACTCACACACACACACATATACACACACTCACACATACACACACACATACATACACACACATACCACATTAACACACACACATACACACACACTCACATACCACATTAACACATACACTCACACACACTCACACACACACACACACACTCTCACACACTCACACTCTCACACTCACACACACATACACACACACTCACACATACACTCACACACACACTCACACACACACACTCACTCACACTCACACACACACTCACACATACACACACACTCACTCTCACACTCACACACACACATACACACACTCACACACACACACTCTCACACTCACACACACTCACACACACGCACACACTCTCTCACACACACACACTCTCACACACACACTCGCACACTCACACTCACACACTCTCACACACACTCACACTCTCACACACACACTCTCACACACACACACACTCACACACACACACACACACACACTCACATACCACATTAAGCTGTGAGCACTTCATCTGCACTACTTTCAGTAGTCACTATGAAATGTCCTTTCATGACTCTGTGGGAACACAGGTTGGCTCACCTACACAGGCTTCAAAATGAACTTAAACAGAAGGAAACCAACATCATCCACAAAATGCAAATTTCAGCAGGCCTGAGATTAAACCACCTCCTGCTTCTCCACTGCTTTCTACAACACGGTATCACTCACTGACTCCCTGTCTTAATGTCAGAGAAGCCCCATTAGCTGCTCAAAGAAAGTCTTCCCAGAGCCTCAGCCCACGGCAGGCATGTGTTCCTCATCTTATCTAGTAAAACAACTCAGAAGGCTTCAGAGGACCACAGTCCAAGAGCAACATGGGAGTTGGTCTGTTTGGGGCTTTTTTGAAGGCTGCTAAGGGTTCCTGCAGAGGTGGAGGGCCATGAGACTTGTATGTCTGTCCTGGAGACAATCCCGGCTGGCTTCTGTGAACCATGCAGATTTGGATAAGAGGCTGGTGGCACCTGTTGTCCCAAGGACCCGATCCAGCATGTCCCTCTCATCCTTTTTCTGGTTACTTGCTCCCTCTGAGAGTCTGCCTCCTGTCTTTGGATCCAGAATCTTCTCTTTCCTGCCCTGCTTTCCCCCACATGATCTCCACTGAGCACAGCCTCCCAGGTCAGGGCCTCTGACCCCAAAGCATCCTTCACCTCATTTAACCACTTGTTAGTACACAGAAGTTGCTGTGGCTTATCGAGGGCCACTCTAGAGAAGTTCCACGGCACTTCGACTGGCTAAATGCACCCGCTGAGGTAGCACAGCAGTGCTTGGCTACCTTTGTTATGTCCCCAGAGTTGGCTGCAGTTCCAGCTGTTGAACCCTGGGCAGATCACACTGAAAAGGGGCAAATTAGGAGACCATTTTGGGGGGCCGTGTCTGGTTATGCATGGAAGACATAGCTGACCTGTTACAGAGGACCTGGAGGGATGGTGGCCCCTGGCTCAGAACTGTCCTAAAGTCCACTAGAAAAATCAGAAGCAGGAGTTAGACTTAAGGACCAAGAGTCAATGTTGGATGCCAAAGTTAGGCCCTGCGGGGGGCGGGGGGGCAGCCTCCTTTACAGAAGGAATGGCCCCCAGGTTGGACGGCTGACTTCTCTGATGCCTCCCTGACCGGAGGACCTTCCCGCAGTGGGTCCCCACACCTTTCTTCCTTTCCCGCCTCCCTCCCCTTGCTGCTCTTGATGGCTCTGGCTATGGACACATCTTTTCAAGATGGGCAGGGGGATTCTTAGGAGATGATTAAACTTCCCAAGAAGTTGGTTTTAAAACTTTCTCCAGGGTCTGGAGAGCTGGCTCAGTGGTTAAGGGCACTGACTGCTCTGGCAGAGGACCCAGGTTCAGTTCCCAGCACCCACACAGTAGCTAACATGAATCTTTAACTCCAGCTCCAGGGGATCCAATACCCTCTTCTGACCACCATAGGCATTGAATGCACAGGTGCATTTACACACATGCAGGCAAAACATTCATTATACATATACAACTAAAAAAGAAATTCTGTTCTAAAACAACAGAACTACACGGACTCTAAAGGACCTAAACAACACGGTCTGCACCATTGTCTCTCAGGAAACGTGCGGGGAAAGAACCTTGCCCCAGTGACAATATGACAGTGTTTTTGGAAGGAATCAACCCCAACATGGCCCTCAGCCCCTTACTGGCACTGAAGGACCCACAATAAACCTCAGGGATCCTCCCCAGCACCCACCGTGAATGAACCCTGCGTGGCCCCCGGGGACACACCCACCAGCAGAGCAAGTGGGGCAGAGGTCAACAAAGACAAGTTACTTCTCTTAAACTTTTCCTTCTGTGCCCCCAGAAACCATATTCCATGCTATAAGAACCCCATTCCTAATCTGGGGGGTTGGGTAGGCCTCCAGCTTAACAGTTTTAAATTTTTATTTATTTATGGTGTATGGGTGTTTTACCCGACTGTTAAGTACATCTGTGTCATGCAATGCCTACAGAGGCCAGAAGAGGGTGTCAGATCCCTCTTCTGGAACTGGAGCTACAGTAGGGGTGTTCTGTTTTGTTTGGGGGTTTTGATTGTTTTGTTTTTACTTGCGTGAGACAATGTCTATATAGGATATGCTGGCGCTAAAGACAGTATCCTCCTGGGGCTGCAGTTATGAGCACTGGCTGTTCTTGCAGAGGACCCAGGTTCAGTTCCTAGCACCCACATAACAACTGTCCATAACTTCAGTTCCAGGGGAATCTGACACCTTTCCTTCGTGGGCTTTGCATGACACGAGTGCACTTACATACATGCAGGCAATACACATATACACATATAAATAATAAATATTTTTAAAATTAATTTAGCTGGGTGTGATGGCATATGCCTTTAGTCCCAGCACTCAGGAGGCAGAGGCAGGCGGATCTCTGTGGACATTTATTGACTTGCATATATTGAACCAACCCTGCATCTCTGGGATAACGCCTACTTGATCATGTTGAATGATCTTTTTTTTTAATTTCTATTTACTATTTTTATGTGTATGAGTGTGTTGCCTACGTGTACATAAGTGCATGAATGTAATGCAGTGCCCACAGAGGTCAGAAGAGGGTGTTGGATCCCCTAGAACTGGAGTTACCAACAGTTGTTAGCTGCCATTTGGGTGCTGGGAATTAACTGCTGAGCCATCTGTCCAGCCCCCAGGTTAACATTTTAACTATGAGGAATCTGGGCTATCATAGTCTCTTAAATAGCAGAAAAATCAGACTGTAAGGCGAGGAGGAGCCAGGTGTGGTAGGGCATGCCTCTAACTCTAGTATTTGGGAGGAGGAAGCAGGAAGATCAGGGGTTTAAGGTCATCCTCAACTGCATAGCAAGTTTCAGGCGGGGGGCTACATGAGACCCTGTCTCACATACAACAAAGACGAGAAATATTAGAAGATATAAGGAAGGTCACTTACTAACAGTAAAATGGTAACACATCAAGCAGACACAATAATCCTGGATACATATGTTGCTGGTAACAGACTCTGAGACACATGCAGGAGACAGACGGTAGCTCACACCTAGAAACCCAGCACTCAGCGGGCAAAGGCAAGAAGAGTCTCAGTTTGAGTCCAGCCTGTTCCCAAAACAAAACAAGCTTGGCATGTAGTTTAGTGGGCAGCACGTGCCTGCATAGCAAACCAAGAGTCCTGGGTTCGACTCCCTAGCACCTCTTACACCTGGAGTGGGGGCACACAGATCTGTCACCTCAGCTGCTACAGAGGCTGTGGAACAGGAGCATCAGGAGTTCAAGGCCATCCCTGGCTTCAGCTAGCTCAGGCCCAGCTGGGCTACACGAGACCCTGTCTCAAAAGCACCCCACAGTAGAAAAGTTAGATCATTGCTCTTTCTTCTGGGGCCAGTGAGATGGCTCCACAGGTAAAGCGTTTGCTGTACAAATATGAGTTCAATCCCCAGAGCCCACACAAAGGTAGAAGGAGAGAACTGATCCACAAAGTTGTCCTCTGACCTCCACACAAACTGTGGCACACAGTAGGCCCCCATCACACACACAGACGATAATGAAGAAAATTCAAACAAACAGCCAGGCATGATGGTGCATGCCTTTCTTTAAAGCCAGCACTAGAGAGGCAAAGGCAAGCAGATCTCTGAGTTTGAAGCCAGTCTGGTCTATACAGTGAGTTCCAGGCCAGGGAGGCTACAGGGAGACCCTATCTCAAAAAACAAACAAACAAAAAAAATCACTCATATATATATAAAGTAAATATAAATAAGTCAAAAATAAAAATAAATAAGGTAGAGAACAATGGGGGAAAGACACCCAGAACGGCCTCTGACCTGCACACACACATATGTGCACATACAACATACACACATATGTGCACATACAACACTGAGTTTTTAAAAAGGATGTGGGTTCTAGCTATAGGTATTTGCTATATAAGAAGCATAACATAGGGGCTGGAGAGATGGCTCAGCAGTTAAGAGCACTGGCTGCTCTTACAGAGGACCTGGGTTCAATTCTCAGCACCCACATGGTGGCTAACAATCATCTGTAACTCCAGTTCCAGGGGATCTGATGCCCTCTTCTGGCCTCCGTGGACACTGCACGACACGGGTGCGCTTACACACATGCAGGCGGTACACTCATAACATCATCACTGTTGCTTTCTCAGGACACTGGAAGGTTCCTGTTCCCATTACAGTTTTCATTCTTATCCCAGCCTAGCTGGGGAGAGTTGGCCCACCCTGAGAACCCACCACCCAATCGGACCCAGGCGGAGACTGTCCTGCCCAACCTGGGGACCGCCCCCCACCCGCAGATGGGAACCTACCTGCCACCTGCAGGATGCTGTGTCTGGCCACATCATAGAATGGGTGACTGGTGCTCAGAGTGGGGTCCTGGCCAGCCATGGACACCACTGAGGGCTCTCCTGTGGCACCCAGTATAGCCCCTGACTCCGAGTTTCTGCAAGGGACACGAGATTAGAGGGAGTTAGTTACATTCATTCATGCCAAGGCGGGGAAGGAGGTAAGATAGCTTAGGGGGTGCACCTGTCCCTGGGGCATGCGGACAGGAACTAAGCAGTGATAAGGCACTGTTAAATACCACTGATACACTGTAAATGCTAAGCCGTTATTGTAAGCTCCCGTTTGCATATTTATTTTTCCTTTAAGCTAAGATTTGGGGAGCCAAAGGAAATCTGACTCCCTAATTGACAGCTGTTACACCCTTCCTTGTTGCCCAAAGTGCTTTGAGTGAAGGATCATCAGCCAAGTAGCCAGTTGGACTGCCCTCCTGCCAGTTTGGGCTCTACACTCCATAGCAATAGCGCCGCGAGGAAGCACCACATCAACCGTAGCTGCTTGCTGCATGGAGCTCAGCTCTGAAGACTTGGTCCAGCCACACCCACTTCAAACATCCTACATGTCCCATCACATGAACTCCACACCACCCTGAAGCCCTCTCCACTAGACCAGAAGGGGAGAATTTTCCTCTAGGGCTCTTCACTGGCCCACTTCTTTGTAAAAATGTTAAAAATATTTTTATTTATTATTTTTATTTTATGTGTCTGAGTGTATTGCCTGCACCCACATTGTGCAATGCCTGTGAAGTTCAGAGAGGGTGTCAGAGCCCCTGGAACTGGAGTTACAGACATTTTTTTGGGGGGGGTCTTTTTGAGACAGGGTCTCCCTGTAGCCCCAGCTGTCCTGGAACTTACTATGTAGACCAGGCTGGCCTTGAACTCACAGAGATCCACCTGCCTCTGCCTCCCAAGTACTGGGATTAAAGGTGGGCGCCACCACGCCTGGCTTATTTGTATTTTATATGTATAACTGTTTTACCTGTACGTATGTTAGTGCATGGATGTGTGCAATGCCCACAGGGGCCAGAAGAGGGTGTTGGATTCCCTGGAACTGGAGTTACAGACTGCTGGGGCGGCAGCAGTTACAACAATGTGAATAACACCCCAAAGACAGCTGAAGACTCCAGAGCGGTTGGGGCCTAAATGAGGCAGAGCAGAAGTGATGGAGACAAGACAGGGGAAGCTAAGAAGCCAGGGACCTGTCACTAGAAGAGTTCCAGGGAGCTGACAAAGGCTCAGGATCTCAGACATCCAGGCCCGAGAGCTGGGGCGTTTGCTGCCATGGGGCGGAGGGTCCAGCCCTGGAACTACAACACCAACACGAGAAGGTGCCGGCTCCTGCTCACCGCCATCTGCTGTCACCACCCACTACTGTCAGAAGCCAAGTTTTACAATAGTTGCCGAGTGCTGGGGCCCAGGGGAGGTGATCACCATGGAGAAGGGAGCCAAACTTCGCCCAAACACGCAGAAAAAGAGCTTGCTGAGGACATGTGGACAAAGATGGCTGATTCTGCCACACCCTCCCCCTCAGCACCCAACAAGAAGATGCTGAGAGACAGGTGTGAGGCTGCGGTCTAGGCGCACAATCACATGGTCAAAGGGCTTCTGGCCAGAGGTCAGAGTGGACAGCTGTCATGTTAGCCCCAGCTTCCCTTGGTCTCAACCAATGGCACACGCACACACATACACACACGCACGCACACGCACGCACACACATGCACACACACGCACACACACGCACACACAGAGCCCATGCAACACCACCAAGGATGAACATTCACTATGTCTGGCCAATCCCCAAGTCACAGAGAAAAGCTTAGGAATGATCACATGACCCACTGGATTCATTTTGAGACAGGGTCTCCCTGTAGCCCCAGCTGTCCTGGAACTCACTATGTAGACCAGGCTGGCCTCGAACTCACAGAGTTCGCCTGGCTCTGCCTCCCGAGTGCTGGGATTGAAGGCATGCGCCACCACGCTCTGCACAGACAGCCAAGGCTGCTGTGGTGCACACCCTAGCTCAGGTCACGCACAGGTTGCCCCAGGACACCCCATCCCTCCCAGCTCTGTGAACTCTCTCCTTGGCATGGTGAGCTAAGGCTTTGGGTTTTGCCCTTCTGCACCAGGGCTGTGGTCTGAGTGGTCTCCCTTCAGAAGCTCTTCCGATATCTGATTCCTGCAGGGGTGCTGGGGGGGTGCCTTTAACAGGTGACTAGGTCATCAAGAGCCACTGACAAAGCTCCTACCCTGTCAACAGTGACAGCTTCTAGATTCCTTGTCAGGTCTCCACACACCCCTCCCCCCTCCCCCTGCAGTACCTCCCCTCCCTGAAGCCCCGAGCCATCTGCACCCCAAGACAGGACTCTGCCGCCAGGCTGCTGTGTGGCTCTGACCTGGAGCTTTGCCCCATCTGGGCCGTGAGACAGGCAAATCCCCTGCCTGCTTCTGGCTGACCTGCTGCCAAGTCCCCAGGGCTGCCAGAGCGATGCTGGCAGGAGGTCCTGGGCAAGGACCAGGAGGGTGTCCAGAGTGGGGGAGGGACAGAGAGGGAAAAGGCCTTAGGAGAGAGTTGCGGGCAGGACACCCTGAGGAGACAGGCAGAGGGGACCTGTCTGTTTGATGCACAACCGTCAACGCATGCCAAGTCTGCACAGGCACACTCACAAGTCCTCCTCCCTGTACCTGCAGTTCTGGGCAACCTACCTCCCCATGCCATCCTGTGATACTCCTTCCTACACCAGTGTGGATGACTGAGGCTCCTCAGCCCTCCTGCCACGCCAGGGGGTTGACCTGTGGCCTCCCGAGGCTGCGCCATTTTTAAGCCACCTGATCCTAGATGCCGGGCTCTGAATGGGCAGCCAACGATGGAGCCGCTGCCCCCAGTGCACACTGAAGATCAAGTTCACCTCCCTGGCAGGGTGCAGGGCACAAGTGCCAAGTAGGGGCCTCTCACCCCACCTGGGCCCCATCAACCTTCCTTCTCTGGGTGGGGGGGGTCCAGCACGCCTCCAATCAAGCCTTCCCCACAGTGGAGAGCATCTCCCTGAGGACCTAGTGAGGGCGTGGGGTGACACCCAGACTGGGATCCTGTGCTCACACCCTGCAGGGAGCCAGTTCTACCTGCATTGAAACTGAACAAAGGAACTCAACCCTCAGAGCCCACAGACACATGTAGCCCGAGGCAGCAAGGGTCAGGCCATGTACCACCCTCAGGGCCAAGCAGCGGCTCAGAGCCCACAGCCATGGCCTCCGCGGCACCAAGGGCCTTGTTTGCCTGTCCTCTGCCTCAGCCAAGCAATGAGTGATTCCTTTCCCTTCACAAGCTCAAAACCTTCATCCTAATCACCTGCCTGAGATCACAGCCTGGATTCTGAGTTTTGTTTGCACACTTGGCTTAGTACCAATGTGGGAGTGGCCTGCTGGGAGGTCCTCCGAGCCCCCTTCCCTCTGTGGTTGTTAGTGGGAGCAAAGCAAGCCTCTCCCGGCATCCTGTGCTGCCCTCAACCTCCCTGACCCCTGTTGTGTGTGAGCAGTAGGAATCCACCTCACAGACAGACTCAAGAAAGAAACTGGACCCAACCCACTGCTAAAAGGCTTAGGGGATACTGAAAAGCCCATGTCCTGTCCCCACTAGAGGCCACATGGCTGGCCTTCTCCAGGTCCAGGAGCCTCAGGTGACACTGACCAGCAGAGGTCCCTAGGGAGCGACCCTGCACCAAGGTGAGGCTGCACCTGTGGGCCTGTAATAGGGTCCCTTCCATGTGTCAGCCTGGCTGGGCCACCAGTGCCTGGGTGCTTGTTCAAATACTAGTCTGCTGTGATGGTGTTTGGGGGTGACATTCACATCTAAGCCCGGTGGCTTTGGGTAAATCACATGACCTTCCATGATAATGTACTCAGGTCCCATCTAATCAAGGAAGGTCTTAAGAGTGGCCCAACCCTCCAGCACAGCCAAATGGTTCCACTGGAGGGAAGCCTATATTCTAAAACTATGTTGGGGACAGTTTGGGTCACCTCATAACAAACTCAGATGGGGCTGAAGGAACTTGTTATGCACAACAAATGGTGTGTTCATATATAAAATATACATAATTTTAAATGTGTGATTTATTTTTTTTGTATGCATGAATGTTTTGTCTGCGTGTATGTAAGTGCACCCGTGTCATACAATGCCTACAGAGGGCAGAGAGGGTGCTGGATCTGCTGGAACTGGAGTTACAGATGGTTGATAGCTGCCATATGGGTGCTGGGAACTGAACCCAGGTCCTCTGTAAGAGCAGCTAGTGCTCTTAAGGGCTGAGCCATCTCTCCAGCTCTCTATATAATTTCTTTGTATGTGGTGATGGGAGCAGAACCCAGGATCTGGAACATGCTAGAATTGTTCCGCCACTGAGTTCCTCAAACGTATTGGTGTGTGTGTGTGAGTGTATGTGCAACGTGTGTGTGCTGTATGTGTTCTTGTGTGAACAGATGCCCATGTACATACTTGTGGAGGCCAGAGGAGAGTGTTGGGTGTTCTGTTCTCTCACTGTCTGCACAGGGTCTCTCACTAAACCTGGCACTAGGCTGGCAGCCAGCAAGGCCCAGCGATCCTCCTGTCTCCACCCATGGCACTGGGGTTGTAGGCTCTGTGTGGATATAGGCACACACAGCAATTCAGTTTTTTTTTTTGTTTTTTTTTTTTTGTGGTGCCGGGGATCTGAACTCAGGTCTTCATGCTTACATAGCAAGTGCTCTTACTCACTGAGCCATCTCCTCAGCCCCCTCCCAAATATCTCTTTTAAAAAATCCTATCACAGCCCCCACCTGCAGGTGCTGTCTGTCCTCTGCCCACCCCCTCACTCTGGAGGAGAATGCTCCCTCTCCCACGAGAACCCCTACCCTCTCAGCACCTGTGCCCCCGCCACAGCTCCCCACTAGGGACCATAAGAAACTCATTCTAGCTCCTTCTGATTAATGGTCCCTGGGTTTTCCTCCTTGGAGTAACGTTTCACAGCGCTGGAGCTCACAGCAGGACTTGCTCATGGAGAACACCGTGTACCCATGCAGGGCTGGGCACAGGTAAATGCCAAGGAGACAACAGTTGGGCTGCACAGACCCT